CCCACATCGTGACGTAGACATGTGTTAGAACGAGCCGTTTTAGGTAGGCGTGGCTGACTCTTAACTTTTATAAAGAATATCTCTTTGGTTTTGAGACTTTAGTCTTTGCAACTTTACAGATCTTCTTTATGCACCAAGAGCTTGTAACACTCCAAAGAGAAAGGAAAAATTGAAATCGCATCATATGACCCCTTTAAGATTAACCGAGGCTCCCTTGATGAAAAGTTTGTTTTTGGGGGGAAAAAGGTGATTTCTCAAGATGAACGTGCACTTGATCGTTCATATATTGGCAGCTGTATTGGCTTCAGTCTGGATTGATGGTGAACTCGAGTGCCTAATAATTCAGTGAACAGCAGTGTTCTGTTCCCAAGAAAACCATGTGTGAGCTTTAGTTTTATTACAGTTGCTTTGTGTTCTGCATTATGGCGCATTTTATTGTTTGTTTGCGCTTTACTGTCAATATTTTATTTGGAAAGAAAGCTCTGTAATATTTCACTGGTTTATCTTCATGTCCTCACAGGAAATATATCAGATTTACGACCTGCTATGTGTTTATTAATAGAGTTATGAATTTGAGGGAAGACGCTTATCTGAACAATTCCGTAAAACATTATTTAAAAAAATACTGGGTAGAAACATGTTTGTGATTTATAAAAAAACATGATCCCAGTTAACAGGGAACGTTTTTTAAAAGTTATATACATGTTATGACAAAGCAATGTTCATTGAAGATTATTATAACTTTATTAATATTTGATATAGGCTACATTCTCATAACATTGAGAGAAAACGTTCTCAAATATGATGTTATTTGTACTTTAACTTTCTAAGAAACGTTTTGTAACATTTTAATCATGACAATGAAACTACATTTTAACGCTCTTAGAATATTACAAATAAATGTTTAATTTTGAGTAAAAATAAAGTTTGTAGAGCGCTTTTGTGAAAAAATAAACGTTTTTGTGACCTTTAAATAAGGTTGTAATCCTCATGTTTATTTGGAAACATTTAAAAACAATGTTCGCACGAGGTTTTTATAACTTCAGTTTGTTAGCTGGGATTGCAGCCTTTTTTGTTTGTTTCAAGCCGGAAGTGTTTCAATGCTGCGCTGTTACCATGGAGATTGTAAACAAAACACGCTAATACAAACTAACGTGTCTACGCGTTAACATTAGCGATAGCTCGGCCTGACGGCGGTTTTTTAATGTTTGATAAATAAATATAGCTGTTTTATAGGTTGATCGTTTGCTGAGATGGACTCGCAGTACGTGAGCCGGACTCTGGCGGTTTGTCTCTCTCAGGGTCTCGCGGAGCTGCTCGAGCAGAGGCCGCCGGATCCCATCGAGTTCCTGGCGCTCTGGATCCTCAAATACAAGCAGAACCAGGAGCTCCTGGAGCAGGTCACACACACACACACACACACACACACACTCACTCACTCACTAACTCACACACACACACACACACACACACAAACAAACAATAGTTAATATAATGTGAAAATGGTTGTTATTATACACTGTTAACATATTAATAATGGTGTATCAGAGAGTCTGGTGGGGCTTCTGGGTAAGAAACGGTTGACAATGCCTTCAGTCAAGGGTGGATGTTATTATTAATTGGAGTTTTTGAATCATAACCATCATTTGATCAGAAATCGGCTCATGAGAGACAGTTAGAGGAGGAGCAGCGGCGGCTTCATGCTGAAACTCTCCATCAGAAACTCCTGCAGGACGAGGAGACGCGGATCAGAGAGGTGACAGAGATTATGGCAGTGAGAGTGTACAGTATGTTCTTCATAATCACTCAGTGTTCTGTTGTGTTTCACCAGCTCACAGAATCAGCAGACGAGAGCAAACTCAGTCCTCCAGATCAGGGTGAAGACGAGGTTTGTGCTTCTGCTCAACTTTCTCGTCTCTGTGTAGCGTTTACACACACTTCAGTGCAGATTCACGTGTGCAAACACATACATACACATGACTAACTAACGATCTCTGCTTATGTGTTACTGATGTCATTCATGCACTTACGACACAATTCCCCGGAAATATTGTTATTACTACAATCAACAGAAGTGTTATTTTAGTAATATTTATTCACTAATATAGTATTTATTAATATTTGAATTATGTTTTATTTTCAGTTTTCATCTTAATTTTTTAGTTTTAGTAATTTGTTATGTGCTTTTTTTTATATATATATATATTTCTTTGCAGCTTTAATTTATTTTTATTTCAGGTTTAGTTTTAGTAATTTTAGCACTTAAACATTTATTCCAGTTAGTTGCCAAGGCAACATTATTAGTTTTTCATCTAATATTTATTTTCTTTTATTTCAGTTACTGACAATTTTTTTAATAGTTTTTGTTAACAATAACACTTGATCAGTATGGATTAAAAATAAAAATTATAATTGCACATTTTTATCTCACAATTCTGAGAAAAAAGTCAGAATTACACGATATAAACTCAGAATTGTGAGATAAAAAGTCACAGTAATTTTTTTTATTTTTTAGTCCATCATGAGAAAAAAAAAACAGAAAGACGTTAAATTGGAATTGTGAGAACAAAGTCAGAATTTTGAGATTATATTGGAAACGAAAAATGAAAAGATTTGCTTCATTCATGCTAGCTATCTTTATAAGTTCAAGACGACTGTCATATTGGTTGGTGTAGTTTAAAAATCCACTGAAGTCATATTTTAAGGTGTCTCTCTGCAGATAGATGCTGCACAAGATCCTGGAGACCAGACAGAGTCAGAGACCGTGAAAGAGCTCTCAGATCCCCTGAATGAGGCTGCAGCAGAACATCAGGTGATCAGTCACAAGAAGATCCTCTCCATCAGAGAGCTTCGCTAAATAAAAGCCGTTTGCGTTTTCCCCATAATTAAGGAGGAGCCCGGCGAAGCTGCTGCAGGTGAGGAACAAACCTCTGAGATCCTGAACACAGACCAATCACAGTCTCAGGACACGCAGGTGAGATCATGTGACGGGTGGATCACAAACGACCCTTTTCCATGACAACCCAGTGATCTAACGAAACTGTGTTCAGAAGGAAAATGATCAAGCAGACGTCCCATCTGAAGAGAACGAGCCTGAAGCAGAGAAGACAGAAGAAGACTCTGATGAGAGACAGACAGAAACTGAGGACAAAGTGAGAATGCTGCATCATCATACAACTATCCTACTGTTTCAGTACTTCAGTACCATACAAATGTTCTGCAAGCTTTAAATACCTGCAAATAACATCATCTAAAAAAATATTAATGGTGATGGGAGAAACTGAGCTTTTAGAAACTCTGCTTCACAAACTGATTACACTGTTTAAAACATTTAGAACGCTGCGCACTAGCGACACCTGCTGGTCAATGCAAGGAAACGTGTCAATCCAAAAGTGTGATCTATTAAATGCAATCTACCAATCATCATTAAAAACGAAGTGTCTGTATGATGCTATTTGATCAATTCGCGGGGCTTGTTTTGTGTGTATTCAGGCCAATAAAAGACTATTACAGTTTTTTAAAATTGCATAGACACTAAAAGTGGTACTTGAGGCGCACTCAGAGAAACCATTCACTCATGCACCGAATCTTTAGACCAGCTACATTGTTTCACAGCAGCTTCACAACAGTATCAAATTTCAAAGCAGCTCTAACAAGTCAACAGTGTCATTATAGAGCTCAAGTCAGTTCAGTGTTGATTCAGTTCAGTTGCATAACTGTGTAAATTCATCAGTATATACAGTGTTTGTGTGCCATGTCAGAAAGTCAACTCTATTTCTGAAGCGCTTCATACAATATAGTTTGTTTCACAGCAGCTTCACAAGAGTGTTAAATTCAAATTCTGCTGTAAAGCAGCTCTAACAAGTCAACAGTGTCATTATAGAGCTCAAGTCAGTTCAGTTACATAACTCTGTAAATTCATCAGTTGTACATGCATACTGTATATACAGTGTATATGTGCACATGCATGAGTGCTGCGACAACTGTGTGATATTTTGCATGCTGTGTGTGTGTGTGTGTTTTGTGGTTTTGCGAGTAGAGTTTTGAGAAATTGAGCCATAGTTTCAAAAACTGTGTAAGCATTTTTAAAAAAACTTAACATTTTTGATATGTGCTCTGAACTGTGTGTGTGTGTGTGTGTGTGTGTTTCACGTGCAGGAGGAAGAGGATGGAGCCTAAACGCCAACATGATGTGTGCTTCACATTCATCTTTGCTACTGCTCACTTAAATCTCATGGATATTGATATTAAATTATATTCATGTTTACTGAACTTTTCTGTTGTGTTATACGTTACATAATTAGTGTTTGTTAAGTAAGTCTTCATTAGTACTAATGCTGATAGTGATGTGATGTGATGAAACATCTAACCAAAACACCTTAGCAACTTTCTAGAACATCTTAGCAACCGCCTAGAACACCTTAGCAACCATCCAAACTGCCTTAGCAACTGCCCAGAACACCTTAGCAACCACTGAGAACTCTCTAGCAACCTCCCAAAGTGCCTAAGCAACTATCCAGAACACCTTAGCTACCACCACTAATGCCCTAGTAACCACCCATCAACTTTGAAGAACACCATAGCAACTACCCAGAATGCCTAAGCAACTACCCAATACGCCTTAGCAACCACCCAGAAGGCCTTAGTTAGCAACCGTCCAAACTGCCGTAGCAACCACCCACAACACCTTAGGAACCACCCAGAATGCCTTAGCAACCACCAAGAATGCCTTAGCAACTACCAGAATGCCCTGACAACTACGCACAATGCCTTAGCAACCACCTAGAATGTCTTAACAACCACTCACACCACCTTAGCAACCATCCAGAATGCCTTAGCAACCACCCAGAATGCCCTGGCAACCATCCAGAATGCTCTAGCAACCACCCATAACACCCTAGGAACCACTCAGAACACCATAGCAACCACCCACCACCCAGACTGCCTGAGCAACTACCCAGAACACCTTAGTAACCACCCCTAATGCCCTAGCAACCACCCAGCAACTTTGTGGAACACCATAGCAACTACCCAATTCCTCAGCAGCAACACAGAAAGCCTTAGCAACCATCCAAACGGCCTTAGCAACCACCTACAACACCTTAGCAACCACCAATAACACCCTAGCAACAACCCAGACTGCCTAAGCAACTACCCAGAACAACGTAGCAACCACCCTTAATGCCCTAGCAACCACCCAGCAACTTCACAGAAGACCATAGCAACCACCCAGAATGCCTTAGCAGCCACCCAAAACACACAATTTGCTATTCTGTTGAGTTTTTAATCAAGTTAATCCAAATTAAGTTTGAGATATTTAGGAAAAATGGGTCTTAAATATCTTTTTGTTTTCTATTTTAAATTTTAGTAACTAAGGTATGGTTTTCTCCATGAAAATAGTCAATGAAGCAGGCATGACATTTAAAAAAAAAACACCCAGAATGCCTCAGAAACCCTGAGCGGCTGTTCTGGTTCATTAGCAGCATGATTAGCTGTAATCGGCGTGAGAAATCAGTGCAGAAAGAAGGAATGTTTGTGGGAACAGAGGTCAATCTCCTCCCAGCTTACACAATGACTGGATCCAGATCAACATTCACAGCCGCTGAGCTCCATAAAGACCTCGTGAGTTGCTGAACACTGATCATCATACCACACACACACACACACACCTCTGGAGACCCTCAGAAGCTCCTTCAGCTCTGCTGCGATGGAGCTGGTGACCTGCGCCGTCAGCTCTCTCGGTCTGACCGTCATCGAGGCGTTACGATCTTTCACTGAGCTGTTTCTCACACAGCCTCTGTGCGCAGAGCTCTCTCATCTGAGTGAGACCGACCTCAGAACACTGGACGGAGGTGAGTGATGCCAAAAACTGGTTTTTAGTGGATGTATGCAGTTCACACAGAATCACATGAACTATCAACTTCATTCACTAACTAACCACAAACACACAATACTGACTGTCTTCATCTTCAACATCTACTGATTCAGCATTTCAAGCCTACAAACACCTGTCTGTCAAATGTTCTGATTGTAAAGTGTGTTTGTGCATCTTTATTCACAATAAGTGACACTTGATTTGATTTTTTAAATCTAATGAATGACATTCCGAAATTTTTAAGCGTGATGAGTGTGAAAATACTTTTTGAGGATCACTAAGAAAATAAGAGAAATATAGTTAATGTTCAGCGCTGAAAAAATAGTGAATTTGTTTTATTCCTTTTTTGGCATAAATCTCACTATATTTAGATTCTCTGAAAGTAAGCCATTGTTTTATGTTCAGTTTTGCATTTCGGGTTAATGTATCTCATTTGGATGTTTTATTGGCAAACGAGGCAAAGATTTTGTTTAAAAATATGATTATTTCGCAAAAAGTCTGACAGATTTCTCCCTCCACAGCTGCTGATGTAACCGTCTCATGACTCTCTGATTACAAAACGCATTGATTTGTCCCTGATGTCCTGCTGAAACGTCCTCTTGCTACAGTCTTGCATGTGAAATGTGAATTTCGTCCCGTGATCTGCAGATGATCGAGTGTTTAAGGCCAGAGAACTGTGGGAGAGTTCAGGAGCCGTTATCATGGCTGTGAGGAGACCGGGATGACTTCTGTGCAGAGAGGTACACACACACACACACACACACACACACACACATACACACATACACACATACACAGACAGACAGACACACACACACACACACACACACACACAGACACACAGACACACACACTCTCTCTCTCACTCACTCACACACACACACACAAACACTCTCTCTCTCACTCACACACACACACACACACACAAAATACACCCTAAAATATGGTTATGTACATAAACAGATACTGCAAAAAAAAATTCTTCCTCAGTATTTTTGGCTTGTTTTCCAGTCCAGATGTCTATAGATTCTTAAACTAAAATACATTTACTGGATATGCAACATGATATAAGAAGTCTTGTTTTCTGAGAAATTTATCAAAATTACGAACAAAGATCTGCCAGTGGGGTCAGAAAAATGAAAACTAAATGCAAAAACAAAACATGTTGATTTTTCTGAGCCCACTGGCAGATGTTTCTTCTTGTTTTAAGTGTAAACTCACTTTATTTTAATCAGTTTCTCACAAAACAAGACTTGCTATCTAAAGTCATTTTGCTTCTCCAGTAAATGTATCTTGGTTTATGAATGTTTAGATATTTGTACTGGAAAACAAGACTGAAATACTGAGGAACAACATCAGTTTCTGCAGTGCACCTCCCTCTTCTAGACTAATGAGACTTGATGGTTACATCAGCCTTTATGGCCCACTAAAAAACATCTTTAATTTTAATCACAGTATTTAATAGATGTGTATTTTAGCTGAGATGAGTGTGTTTTGTGTCAGGAGGCGTCTGATCTCTCCTCTCTGAAGCCTCTGTTAGACGAGCGTGGAGTCGCTCTGTTCGCTGTGGTCAAAGAGAACATCGCCTCAGAGATTCACGACTTCAGAGCCTACTTTAACGGAGAGATCTTCCTCGATCAGCAGGTCTGTCACATATAAACACACACACACACACTCAGCAGCACACATCCATCACGTCTCTCGCACTGAAGCTGTTGTGTGGTGTGATCAGAGAGCGTTCTACGGGCCGCTGGAGCGCTGGATGGGCTTCTCGGGGATCCTGCGGGCCGGCGTCTGGATGAGCGGATGGAGGGCGTATCAGAGCGGATTCTGGGGAAACGTGCGGGGCGAAGGCTTCGTTCTGGGGGCGCTTTATGTCATCGGACCAGGACAACAGGTGTGTGAAGATGGGAACGATCACACGTGGCAGTAAGGTCACGCATCTGACCTGCAGTCAACACAGTGATTAAGATGATCTGGATTAAAGGCACAACATGTAATTTTCACCACTAGAGGGCATGTATTCAAAACAAACAAAGAAACAAAGGCGTAGTTTGATGACGCGTGACTGAGTGTGGAATCATGGGAGTTGTCGTCCACAGCTGATGCAATCCGACGGGACTCGGGCAGAAATCGTGTTCATGGATGAGCTAAAGATTTATTAACGTAGTAGAATGAAGCAGGGTGAGGCTGAAAGCCGTCGAAGCGAAACGAGGCGCTGAACGAGCGCGACACACAGCTGGAAAGCTGTGTGTTATGCCACAGTCGAGCGCTTCCGCTGCTTCCGGTCGTGCGTATATGTGGGGTAAAGCAGCGGAGCTTTTATTATGCCACAGTCGAGCGCTTCCGCTATTTGGGATAATGTAAGTACACAAGTCAGCAAAATATATAACACTGTTCTAGTGGTTTTTGGATATTTTAATTAAAAAATCTTACATATTGTGCCTTTAAAGCTTCTGTCTGATTCCAGCGCTGCAACCACAAGAGACATTGAGTCCCTCCACAATAATCAGAAATAGCCAAACTGTCCCACAATGACACAAAGTTTTAAAATTTCGGTTTAGGCTACAAAATTTTTGTGTCAAATTTCAAAATTTTGAATTGAAAATGCAGGCTAAAAAGTGACGAGAAAAGAAAAATTTTGCCGTTTTGAATTTTCAGAATATACGTTTTTTTGCAATTCACTTTATTCTCTCACTGTTCTTCTTTCTTCATTCTTGCAAATTTAATTATTTTATTCCTTTCAATAAAAAGACCCTCCCCAAAATGGTCCCCCCCGCCCCCAATGTTCAAGACATGCAAATATGATTCATAAATGCAAATCTTGATTAAAACCACCTCCCTGTATGTATTTATTTTGCACAGGGAGTCCAGCTGGAACACAGAGAGATGGAGTTCGGAGACAAAGTCAAGAAGACTGACGTGATTCAGGCTGTAGAACAGATAAACACTGACATTAAAAAAGCCTAAAATATCACACGCTTCCTGAAAACCCCTTCAGCTTGATTGTGTTTTATTCTAAACAGCAGAATACTCTGATTATCCATTATATATGCATGCGTGTGTGTGTAGTTGATGACAGACTGACTCTAAACTCAGATGAAGGATCAGTCTCGATGTTTGATGCTCTACATTCACACACAGAAACCTATAAAATACAGCAATAAAACACACTATAATCGATCAAACGTGTGTCGTTATTATTTGTGAATGCATACTGAGTTTTTTGCTTATTTTAGGGCTTCCCAAACTGGGAAAAAGCTAATATATAAATAAAAACATGTGACCCTTAACTGACATCAGAGAACACTGAACATGTGAATGTGTTGTTAAAATTACTAAAATATTAATTTCCAGTTAGACTTCAGGAAAATATTGTAGCTCAAAGTGGTTCGGCTGACAAAAAAGATCGGGACTGCCTTGCTTTATTTTATTGCTAATGCTTCTGCATTCTCAGATTAGTGCAGGCATACAAAACAATATGATTTATTATCAAACACAT